TTGTGTCCCTTATTTTTCTTCTCGTTTCCTCTTTTTCCTTGCCTCAGATAAGGTCGTTGCATTCAAACAGTCGCACTTGGGATACCCTTTGCACTTGAGACTCCATTCGGCATAGTAAGGTTTCTTTTTATTTACATTGGTTAGAACCATCCTCTTCTTTGGCATGTCAAAAACTGCGCCAGTGGTTACAAGGAAGGGTCTCCCAAGTAGAGTTGAATCGCGCGATGTGCTCTCCATCACAAGAAAATCAGTAGGAATGAAGGTGTTCCCAATCTGAATGTTGAGGTTGTAAACGATTCCTATGATCTTTGGTGAAGATGAATCCGTCATTTTCACAGAAAGCGTTGTTGGGTAGATTTCTGATATGCATAAGGTGTCTGGATCAGCTCGCGTCATTACACTCATACAAGGTTCTGTATCAAATACTGCATTTTCGAAGTTAGATCTTTGATTGTAAAAGAGATGAAAAACTTCCCTGGATCATCTTCCTTGGCAATCTTCATCATGGATGGCTTAGTTGTCCGCCTTATTTTGAGAAATGTCATTTCGATTCCAGTCCTGGACTCATCGGTTGGGTAGAAAAAGTCCTCCAAGGGGTAAGTGTCCCATGCATCATTGAAATCTACATTTGGAGGAATTCTCCTAACCAATTTCTCAAAATTATCGAGAGTTCCTTCATTAATGGTTTTCATGGCTTTCTTATTTCTCCTTTGAGTTTCTCCTGCATATTATCATCAGAATCACAAGAGTTTAAAGTTAGCTCTTTAACGAGGATCCAATCAATCATGTTTAAACCGATAGTTGGCTTAGTAGCTTGATCGGTGAACTCCTTGATATCCTTGGTGAGTTTCGTGAGGGATACTTTCAACTCATTCTTGTACTTATCCAATGTGTTGATTTCTTTTCCGGTGGAGGTGATATTTCCTAGAATGTCTTGGTACATCTCGTCCACCTTAAAACCCAAGTCCGAGACATTCTTGGTGTTGATGGAAGTTTTGACGTCTAGATTCTCCATGCATGTTGAGAGTTCTGAAGAAGCTTCCCTAGTTGCATCAATCTTGTGCTCTAGCTGAGCGTGGATAGTAAGCGTGCTAAGTCTGACTCTGAATATGCTCTCATTGTTTCGGAGATTGTTCGCGGTCTTCAGCTTGACATTTTTCTCGAGGAATTGAATCTTCAAAAAAGGAAAATTTCCAATCTTCTCGGATGGAGAGATGGATCGATCGCAGTGTTAATGCGTCTGTCCATCAAAAACAGTGAGTTCCTGATCGGTCGATCGCATGTAAATATCCTGGATTGCCGTTAGTTTGATCCTCACTCGAACAAATTTCTTTAAATTGAAGATATCTCATCATCTAACCACCGGATTTAGGCAAATAAATATTTGTTTTGAAGCTGAGATCTTCCTCCATCTTGTGCTGAAATATGAGCTCGATCTAACGGTGGGAAAATCTTCATCTGAAACGAAATATCTGACGGTTAGGATTTGTCCTTCCTTTAAAATGCTTGATTTCTCTCATTTTTGGCCCAAAATGCTCCAAAAGCCTGTAAGGACTTCAAAACCCACGAAAATGCTAAAAATAGCATGTTAAGTCCAAAAAAGATTTTTTTTTTTATTAAATACATATTAAAAATATAAAAATAGGTAAAATATCGTATATATCAGTAATACAACCAAACCTAACATTATCTAACGAGAAAAATACTCTGGAATTACAAGAACTCGTTAAATTTACTTGATCGCGTTCTCTTTCTACTAAACTTGAACTTTTCAAAAAAAAAAAAAATTGAACTCCTTTTAACAAGAATGGTAGAGATTATAAAACACAAGTACATGTTTTTTTTTTATCCGTGCATCGACGATTTCAAAGAAGATGCGCAAAAATGAAGATGACTACAATTTTGAACGAACAAAGATAAATGTGAGAAATGATAAGTTAATAAAATTAGCTTTTATTTATACATCTCATAGCTCATTAGATTTTTTATTTTTAAAATATTACAAAACCTCATTGGCTTAGTTTTTTCTATTTTTTCATTAATTAATTCAAGATTTTTAGCATAAAATATATTTATTCATGTCAGAAATTTCATTAAAAAAATATTTAGATTTATATTTGAATGATATTGGAAAAATATTTGTTACCATTAAAGAAGTTTCTACATTGTATTAGTTTTAGTAGTA